CTGTAAGAATGTGTAACATAGACTGACAGGGAATGAACTGTGAGTGGGCAACTTTAGAGACTGCTATATTTGTCAATGAGTGTGCACAGTTTGTTAGTAAGTTGTGTGATTGAAGCTTCATCACCTGGCATGGGGCACGGCTTGTTAGCATGTGAATGGCATTGGTATGCCCAGGGTACAGTATGCTTGTAAAGCTTGTGAATGAGACTGGCATTGCCTGTCATTGCGGGCACTGTATGTTAATAAGGTGAGTGAATGAGACTGGCATTGCCTGTCATTGCGGGCACTGTATGTTAATAATGTGAGTGAATGAGACTGGCATCTTCAGGCATTGGGGGCACAGTAAGAAAGGTGTATGAATGAGACTAACATTGGGGGTCACAGTACATAAGGTGAGTAAATGAGAGTGGCATTCCTCAGCATGGGGGCACAGTATATAAATAAGATGTGTGTTTAGTAAACTGTACGATTAGGATTGTCATCCCCTGGCATGAGGGAACACTTTGCTAACAATGAGAATTGAGCCTAACCTAGCCTGTAAGGCACAGTGTGTTTAGAAAGATGTGTGAATGAGGCTGCTCCCCTGGCATGGGGCACAGTATCTTAGCAAGGTGTGTGAATAAGACTGGCATCCCCTGGTATATAGTGCCAACCGAGAGAGTACAACAGAGTACAGGCTCATTCTGTCAATCTGTCTGTCATCTATCCATCTGTCTCCTGGCCCTTCACTCACAGTCTCCCCCACCAAGTCAGAGTGCACTCAGCGCCCACTCACTGCCCCCCTCCCGGTCAGTGCACTCAGCGCCCACTCAGTGCTGCTCCCCTGGCATGGGGCACAGTATCTTAGCAAGGTGTGTGAATAAAACTGGCATCCCCTGGTATATAGTGCCAACCGAGAGAGTACAACAGAGTACAGGCTCATTCTGTCAATCTGTCTGTCATCTATCCATCTGTCTCCTGGCCCTTCACTCACAGTCTCCCCCACCAAGTCAGAGTGCACTCAGCGCCCACTCACTGCCCCCCTCCCGGTCAGTGCACTCAGCGCCCACTCAGTGCTGCTCCCCTGGCATGGGGCACAGTATCTTAGCAAGGTGTGTGAATAAAACTGGCATCCCCTGGTATATAGTGCCAACCGAGAGAGTACAACAGAGTACAGGCTCATTCTGTCAATCTGTCTGTCATCTATCCATCTGTCTCCTGGCCCTTCACTCACAGTCTCCCCCACCAAGTCAGAGTGCACTCAGAACCCACTCACTGCCCCCCTCCCTGGCAGTGGGTCCCACAATGCAGGGTCCCTGTTGGTGCCTGGTTGTGCCCAGTGTGTGCCCCCTCTCCCTGGCAGTGGGTGCCACAATGCAGAGTCTAACTCGGTGCCCAGGATCCAGCCCTGCCCGCTTAGCCTGGGAAATACTGTACTGACTGAGCTCCCATCCCAGTGCCCTCTCCCAAACCCCCCCCCCCCCCCCCCCCCCCCCCCCCCCCCCCCCCCCCCCCCCCGGCCGCCCCACAGCCTGTATTCCGCACTCCCGCCATGTTCGCCGGCCGCTCCGCTGGGAACATGGGCAGTATGTACTATGCAGATTGCAGGCCTCAGCCCGGGCAGCTCCATATAACAGAGAGGAGACTGAACGCTCAGAGTGGGAGCAGGCAGTGCAGCAAAGGGCAGGTCCTGCAGGATTACTAATGGGAACGGCATTCCTGCTGTGGAAAAAGTGCAGAAACGTCTGCAGGACACGAGCCCTGTATCTATCTATATCTCTCTCTCCAATTATCTCTCTCTGTAAATTATCTATCTATCTATCTCTAACTATCTAATTCTCTCTCTCTATCAATAAGGCATTCACTGCTATTGCGAAAGGGTTCTTTTCACTGAAGACTGACCCAGAATAATGTGCCATTTCTCCAGTCACAGTTTGACTATTACAGTCTACATTTTCCTATTCAATTTAAATTTGCTTATAATGCCGTCAGTTCTCTCCTATTCACAACTCACTGTTTAGTGAATATACCCTTTGGGTTATCATAGCTGACTTTGATAATGTGTCCAGCTCAGCCAAGCTACATATTTTCCAATTTCTTGTTCAAGTCTATTTTATATTTTTCCACAAGCTGGTATTACTAAACACAACTGCTAACTGTTGGTCAGATTTCTCAGCAGAACTGCTGTAACAATATGTAGTGTTTGCATGTAACTAACTCACATTATTTAACTCCATCAGTGCCAGGTAATTAAACAGAGCATTGATGGGCAATGCATTGCTTACCCAAATGGTAAACCATGATTCACAAAAAGAAAAACAATTAACCCCAACAAAACATTCCTTGACAACTTCAGCCATGAGGACCAATACTTCCCATATACTGTATGTGTGTAAATGTAAATGTGTGCATCTGTGTACATTATTATTGAAGTGTATCATTCTAGAGACCAATGAGTGATTTGCTTTATGCTATTTATCAACAATATTTTGACATCTCCCTAATCTTTTAAAACAAAAATATTTTCTATATATGTTATTTTATATAACAAAAAATGTATTGCAGTCAAATCAGTGTCCCAGATTCTGCCTACAGCTACCCACATCAAGCTTAAATAGACAGTGATGAGAGTTTGTAGGTTTGTTTTTAAGGAAGAATAATCTATGACCCAGCAGAGAGGCCCCTTCTAGTGCAAAGAGGGTAAAAGGGGTGGATGATATGTCAGAGTGATGTGTGTTACTGGGGGCACCCATTAGCACCACCTACAGACTCTCCAGGTATTGTGGAGTTATAGCAGGGTGAACTGGAAGGCTGCCAAACATAATTAGACTGCAAGCCTCATGCAATAAAGTCACATCACAGAGTCCAAACCATCAACCAACTATCAATATGGCAATGTTATTTCTATCAATTGTGTGGATATAGGAGTATCAGCTTGGTACAATATTGCCTCAATTAAATCTGGACACAGAAGTGAAGAAAGGTAAGTTTTAAGAATTAAGATATATGTTAATGATATATAATAACAGAAAATAAATTGCATACGGCTTTTCAGTTGCATTCTAATTAAGGACAACATTTAGAACAATTGCTATGACAAATTAAATATACTGTAGATAAATAAAAGTGTTTTTGTGCTTAACCGAATTTATAGTATGGGGGATTATAAAAAAAAAACAAAAACAAAAAACCACACACACATTTGTACACACTATCTATCTATCTATCTATCTATCTATCTCTCCAATTATCTCTCTCTGTAATTATCTATCTATCTATCTATCTATCTATCTCTCCAATTATCTCTCTCTGTAATTATCTATCTATCTATCTCTCCAATTATCTCTCTCTGTAATTATCTATCTATCTATCTATCTATCTATCTACCTACCTATCTCTATATATCTATCTAAACACGCAGTGACTGAGTTATATTTTGACAGTTTTGATATTTACTAATGAAATCATATCATATAATCATGCACACAAACTCTGCAGATCCGTTCACATTCCAAATCGTTCACATGATTACTTTTGAAAGTTTAAGTAACTGAATCGAATTTAGATTTCCATGAAAAGTTTTTTTAAAATTCTGGTCCTCGCAGTGTCTTACAACACCAAACATGTTGATCACTCGTTTAAATGACTTGGGGGTAAAGGAGGGAATACTAAAAATTCTAGCGAGAGATTGTATATTTATTGAAAAACATCTAAATATTTATTCAGATATTTTCAGACAGAAATACGATATTTTTTATATCGACTCAGTAGCATGTTTAATCTTAAATGGTTTATATATCGAAGTCTGTGTACTAAATTTGTAAAATGATTTATATTTATATCTATCTATCTATCTATCTATCTATCTATATATATATATATATATATATATATATATTTATGTTTAAATATAAATATATATGATATAATGAAATGCTTCCTTTTAGACTAATAATATATATGATAAATTTAAATATCTATTATATATTAGACCCTTCACTGCTGCACATATCATCAAATAGCTTGTTTTAAATTAGTAAATGATGCTTGCATTTCCTGACATTAAATATTTCCTTATTTTCCTGATATTTACCGTTTTACTAGTCATCAGAATTGCTACTCGCCCACGATTTGGAGTTCTGTTGTCCCTGTGTGAACCCATTACAGAAAATTTATGGGAAGTTTAGTAATCACACCTCTAGCTATCTATTCATTTTATGTATGTAATTTAACACATTGTGCTTTTATAAAATGAATTGTATCCTTACTAGCCCATTTTAAAGAAGAACTCTGCAAAAAATCCATCAAACTGCATCAACAACCCATTCCAGATAATTACAGGCTTAATATATCGAAAGAACCAGCACTTTTTAATTTTTTTTACTTATCAGGATTTATTCACTAAAATATAGTTTTACTAAAAAATAAAATCTATTTTTTTTTTATAAATTCCGATTATGTTTTTATTGGCAGTGCAAAGTGTTCATGCTTCAATATTTCATGTCTGTTCGAAAATAGATGTCTGTTTGTTTGTGAAATTAGTTTCTCGAATTTTTAAACATCGCACAGAATTTCAAAGAATTAATGTGTCTTAAAAAATGTAAAATAAAAATTTTTAAAAAGTTGAGTGTGAACTCAAATCTTTTACATTAAATGGTTGTTTCAAAATTCTACCTAATCACAAGTATACACACATGGGTAAATTTAAGGGGATTTATAATAGTTTGTGTAGCAATTAACAAGATACATTAATCACCCCACTGAATATTGCTGTTATTCTAGGATAGATACTTTTTGGTCAACAATTTATTTTACCCTCTGAACCCACGAATAATCTGAATGCCCTGTCTTTGTTATGTGCAATTTGCATAATATTTATTCTTTAGGACTGGGCATCAGTCCCATCCCCCCTTGCACAGCCCACTCAGTATAACAGATTCCTGTTCTTGACTATGGTGCACACAGCATAAGGTCTCATTCAGTGATCTTCTGCATGCAAGCTCTGGGAACACAAAGCCATCCTGCAAGTGTGCTCACATTGGTAAGATGACTATCACCACTTTTATATCCTCAATATTTAGGTACTTGTGGTTATATGCTTCATGTAACAGAATTATAAATTTTAACAATTTCTGCAGACTTGACTAGTATCTTGCTAATGTTTGCTGCAATGAAAAACTGTAAGGTAGTGATAAATAATTTTACTATCCAGAAAGACTTGGAGGCAAACACAGTTTTATTTTTTTCAACCACAGAATAGACTCGCATTAACAAGCATAAAAGGTTTTTTCCCCCCATCACCCATTACAATTGTTTTTCGTTAGTATCACTTTAATCCACGAGGTGGCGCCCTTGCTGGCATAACTGATGTGAAATTGAGAACTGATTTCAAACTTCATAGATCGCTTAGAAAGCGTGTTTCCGAGAGTGATGCAAGTGGATAAAAGCGTTAAAAATAGCTAGGGGTCTAAATGTATGCTCGATTTAGGAAGTAGACGAATTAGTAATTACTACGTATTTTTATTTTGAAAGGGAAATATTGAATTTTTTGTGTTTCCAAATCACTAACTGCATATATAAGATATTACATTCACATACATTTTAATTACATCTTACCACGTTTGGATATATTTAAGATCCATGTAATGGATATATAGACTGAGAGAGAGAGAGAGAGAGAGAGAGAGAGAGATAAGATAGATGATCGATAGATCGATTTATAGATAGATAGATATACAGACAGACAAACAGAAGATAGATAGATAGATTTATAGATAGATGATAGATAGATAGATAGATAGATAGATAGATAGATAGATAGATAGATAGATAGATAGATAGTTTATGGTTTATTGTGATGTCGGACAGATAGATAAGATGGACAGACAGATGACAGACGGACAAACAGATAACATTTTTTGTTTTATTGTGAGGTCAGACAGGCAAACAGATAAAAGATAGATAGTTTGTGGTTTATTGGGATGGTGATGTCAGACAGATAGATAGATAAGATGGATAGACAGACAGAGAGATGGACAGACTGACAGTTTATGGGTTATTGTGATGTCAGACAGATAGATAGATGATAGATAGATAGATAGATAAATGATAGATAGATAAATGATAGATAGATAGATAGATAGATAGATAGATAGATGGATAGATAGATAGATAAATGATAGATAGGATAGATAGATAGGTAAATGATAGATAGATAGATAGATAGATAGATAGATGGATAGATAGATATTGAGATGTCTCCAGTGCAAATCACAATAGTTGGTTGGATGCATATGCAAACCACTTAAATATAATGCATATTTAGCAAGTACACTCCATCACATATATTTCACAGCTGGGAGGTATAAATATGACGTTAAAGCAAACAGAGTGAAAGGTTTTCCAAGTTGTATGTTTGAAGCAAAGGGTATACTTTTAGAAACTTGTCAAAATGATTTTCATGAATGTTTTTGAACTATAATGTGCCATCATCTGGACTCTACTTATACAACTGCAGAATGAGCTAAGCAAACAGTTCTTCAATAAGAAGGGAAAGTAAGATGACCAGAATGAAATGTATGTGATGCCTTATGCTGAGTGTCTGTGAATGATCATGTCAGTGGTATTGTACAGTGTGTCCATTCATTACTATTACTTATGGAAGGACAGAAATTTCTGCAGCATTGACAAATCCAGGAGATAAAGATGAAGATAAAGCCATTGCAGAATAAAAGAACAGAGGACCCTGTCAGTGTGCTTAAAATGTAGCCTTTACAGTACTTTGTACAAAGTGCTTAGCAAACTGGCTCATGAGCTGACAATCTAGTGACTCTAGTAGAGTTTTTTTTATACTATACTGATATATATATATATATTGATCTACACCATCAGAGAGCTATAGTATAGATATATATATTAACAGTGTCCCATTTGGGATAAATGCCCACTGTGTGATCAATGCCATGTGCTGGTTACATTTCTTGCCAGAAATTTTCTGTGTGTCTCGGGCCCAAGTTATGGTAAGGTAATTGAGGGGTAGATTGCACTTTACATTGCACACAGCCATTAGTATATGTGCTTATACTTCGATCTATATATCTGATAGCAATTTGACTGCTGAGTTTAGAAAATGAATACATGTAGTGTGTCTAGATAGAGGAATAATCCATGGATTTGGATGGTGGATCAAGTAAGATTAAGGTGGAGAAGTAGAAGTGTGCTTCCTATTACAGACTAATAAATAACATACCAGTGTGTTTAGTGTGTCGTATATAGGGATATTTACTGAAGTGTGGATTATTGAGAATCCAAAGTTAATTCAAACTTCAAACAATAGCCAAACTGAAACCATTGCTCTAATAGAGATTTTTTTTAAATCTGTTCAGACCTAAAAATTCCAATTCGGTTTGAATTCACTTTAAATTCCTTACAATTCATACTTTAGTGTATATCCCTAAGGGATATGTCTGCCTTGGATTTTGTAGATTACAGTACTTGATTTGTCATGGATCCTGTGCCTGGCAGAGTTTATCAATGAAAGGTGAAAACGAGCGCCAAAACCACTGCAGCTGGTTGTAGTGGTTATGGTGCAAAAGGGTATAGTAAAGTCCTTCTAATTCTGCTGGTTCAAATGGTTTGATAAGCCTGGGGTGGTTCACTGGTACCATGAGCCGCCTTCTCTACTGGATGCCATAATAAATAAGTGAAACCACTCATAATTCATACAAAATAATTATGCAGTCAGAGGCAGTGTGAGTAGTGACATCAGAGGACCAATGTTAACCCTTTGGGAGAGGCTGGGACACTTTTAACCCTTTCAGTGCCACAGTATTGACACAGGATCAAGTGACAATTTTAGGCCCAGATGATTTGACATACATCTCATTATATATGAGTGGGAGTTTTTTTCATATCACCAATTTTAAGTATGATATGACACACACAACTGCCACATATATTAATACAGGATAGTACTAGGGGGGCTTTTCAGTAAATAACAAATTTAAATGATTTGACACTAACAAATTTAATTCTAAGAGGACTGTTTACCAATAGTGAACCATAGAATTGACATACATAACATGTAGGCTCTAAGAGCTGACAAGGAAAATATCTCTGATTGGGGTGAGTTGCAGACTGTATTTCAAGCTTGGTCAGTGTGGACATCTAATAGTCACTTCACCACAATTGCCTGTTTAGTAAATATATCTCTTAGATCAGTAGGTGTAAACTTGTCACACTCTCCAGAGGGCTAGTCACCGAACCAAGAATTGATGAGTATTATAATATTTAGGCCAAACTAGTTAAACTAGAGAAATTGTCGAGTTGGCATATTTTCCAAGTATGCTATATTTGCTATATTATATGCCATTGTACAGCGCTACGGAATCTGATGGCGCTATATAAATAATAAAATAATAATAATTTGATTGAAAATTAAAATTCCGTAAAAAATAAAAAATGTAAATAAATAAAATAACAATAAAACAATCCGATTTAATGAATGTTCATTTAAAACTTTGAAACTGGCTACAATTCACCTTTGAGCAAGCAGACTCACTGTAGCTGTTTTACACTAGAATGTACAGTTAGCTCCTCACACAGACAGTACATGCATGTTTTACTGTAAAATATTATTATCACACAGTTATCTCAGGACATCTTCCCTAACTCCAGCCATCGCAGAAAACCCCTTTCTCTGTTCTTCTGAAGCTGTGGTTGTAAATGTTCCACCGCACAGGGCAGCCAGACACTTTCCAAAACGGATCTCAAAAACTGCCTCACTGTTTGCTGCTACATTTAGTTTCCAGCAGACACTCAAAGCACAAAGTCAGATTCCGTGAGTGTGAGCTATTTTTTTTTTCTCCTTCCTCGCTTGCGGTTACAATGAACAGCCTCGAGCAAATTGGTATTTTTTTTTTTTTTTTTTTTACTGTACATCTTCGGATCAGATCGCTGTTTCCGAAGTTTAATTTTTCCGGAAGGTGTCCTATATATGGTGCATAGAGGAGGTCCTGGCAGTCCCGGATCTTTGCCTTTTTAGGTGAGCCCTGCCTAGACCGGAATCCCTTGCAGAGGGTGCTTGCACTGAGGAAATCTGCTCCCCAGGGTCCCCCCTGGTGTCAAACCCCCTTAATGCATTCATTTAGTGGCAAGCATTTATTGCATTGCGCCAGGCTCAGCGCGTGCATTGCGGCTGCTGCGACGCAACGTTCCAAAAAAGCTGCAACAATGTATCACTGTATCACAAACAAACCCATTCATCCCCTAAACCCCGCCCACGTCCCCCATTCATAGCCTGGCAAACCTAATGCAAATCCCTGACGATTGGATGGGCGGGGAGCCCAGCCCCTATTCCTCAGTCCTTATATGGGCAGTGACGTCGCCAGCATTCAAAGCTAGTGAATAAATACTTAGTGCAACACTTTCCATTTACTGAGCAGTTCAATTGATTAACAGCCTCAGCAAAGGATACTTGTTACAATAACACTACTACAACTGCTTCTTCACTTCAAACTAAAGATCTGGGACCAATGACAACCTCCCATGTTTACTCTTTTTTGATACTTTGCTAGTTTGCCTTTTTTTTTTTTGCACATTGGATTCAGTTACTTACAGTGACCAATAATAAAAAAAAAAAGACTTCTAGTTTCATAGGAGTTTTGAAGGGAGTTTTTTTTGGCTCAGGAGGATTCTCTGGGCAAAAGGCAGTTGATGAGATGATGACTGCCAAAACTGTGGAGAAAATCCCAGTGTCAATAGGCAGTTTTGTACATCAGATACCAGACAGCATGTATCCTATGGATGAGTCGACTTTGCCAACATCAGTTACTTTCTTTCCTAATGTTGATTTGGGAGGACCATTTGACCAGATGAGCAGTGTCACTGGAGGTAAGTCATTTCCTAAACTGATTTTATTCCCCTGCATTTATATAGTCGCCAGGATGAATACCTTTGAGGGATGCTATGCTCAATACTGAATATTTTATGTTTCCTACAGGTAATATTTTATAGACATAGTGAATGGGTAGGTACAGGGGTGTAAAAGATATAGCTTACTGACATTTACTTTGCATTGTTTTTCAATATCTTTTTGTTCGTGCTTTGCCTACTTTACGTTGACTTTAATACACATTTAGAATAGGTAACACCTATGCCATCATCTAGTTATGGATATCTTAGTTATTAATGGATCTTTTACCCTGGTGTAGGTTTTGTACCTCAATTCTTCAGAGAAGTTCAGAGTCTGTGGGGCTTATTCACTAAACAGCGAGTTCTAGCGAATAGAATTGTAAAAATGTAGAATTGAAAAAAAAATAGATAAAATCAGTCAGACTGCGATGTTAGCTGAATTGAAGAATTTTTTTTCAAAAGTATCTATTTTTGCAAAGCAATTTTCAATTCCCTACAACTGGCTGTTTAGTGAATAAGCCCCTTTATGTATTACCCAGGCTTGTTATCTCCTGGTCATGAAAAAAGGAAAGCATCCAAGTGTTAATAATACTTTTATTTCAACATAAACCAGCATGTATCTGATATAGTGAAGGTAGGTTTAAACCTGTGATGTTATGGAGAGAGACCTCATGAGAAACGTGTTACAATGAAAAGTCATTTACATATATAACTGACATGCATTAAAAAAATATATAAGAAAAAAATCTAAACAATAGTTGTTTTTTAAATTTTCATTTACAGATGGAATGATCAGCGTCGATATGAACAGTGACAAGAGATCCCTTGATCTACCTTACCCCGGCATCTACCCTTCTACACCACGCAACCAGACTTTTACCTACATGGGCAAATTTTCCATTGATCCCCCGTACTCAGGGACCAGTTGGAATCATGATGGTTTCTTCAACATTGTCAGTGCTGGGATCCTGGGAATGACATCTTCACCTACAACTTCCTCCACCGCTTCATCTTTGTCCCCAAACCCTCTGTCCAACGTGAGCTGCAACATGACCCATAATCAGAATGAGGTGGACCACCACATGTACCCAACACCACCACCACCCCCTTATTCCAGCTGTGCTGAGATACCTGTATATCAGGATTCATCCTTCCTCAGTACCTCCACTGGGACATCCCTGTCCTACCCTCCCCCTTCCTATCCATCCCCTAAGGCAGGCTCTGATGGTACCATTTTCAACATGATCCCAGACTATCCTACCCTCTTTCAGCCTCAGTGCCAAAGAGACCTCCATAATATGCCAGACCGCAAGCCCACCTTCAACTGCCAAAGGGACACTCTCATAGTGCCACCACCACTCACGCCACTGGCTGTCATCAGCGAGTATAGACAAGGAGGCACCAAATCTGAAGCTTCCAGGATGCCAAGCGTCTACAGTCCACAGAACTTGCCACTGCGACCCATCCTTAGACCCAGGAAGTACCCCAACCGTCCCAGTAAGACCCCAGTGCACGAGAGACCATACCCATGCCCGGCAGAGGGCTGTGATAGACGCTTCTCTCGTTCTGATGAACTAACCAGGCACATCCGCATCCACACCGGCCACAAACCCTTCCAGTGCCGCATTTGCATGCGGAACTTCAGCCGCAGCGACCACTTGACCACCCACATACGCACTCACACCGGCGAGAAGCCCTTCGCTTGCGACTACTGCGGCAGAAAGTTCGCCAGGAGCGACGAGCGCAAGAGGCACACCAAGATCCATCTCCGCCAGAAGGAGAGGAAGAGCTCGGCGGGCGGCACCACGGCGACATCTAGCGGCAGCACAGGGCACGACCGCGCTTTAAGCCTCAGCCCACCATCTACAGGCAGTATCTGCTCTGCTAGCTCTAACAATGGCCAGATGGGACTGTGCCCAACCAGGACTGCATAACAAAAATCTCCCAAACCCCAAAACCCCAGACTTTATTAATATTATTTTTACTAGACAAGGTGAACAACGAAAGATCACTGCCAGTCAAAGGCGAAAAAGCATGAAGACATTTTTTTTTTAAATCCTACTATTGGCACAGGGGCAGCCAAGTTACAAATAAGTTTTATGTTTACCAAGTGGTTATATTTATCACGTGAGTTATAAAAGCACTATAAAAACCCAGGTCTTTTGTCCCAATCTGCTACTAAGCAAAAATGACTACCACTACATGACCCCATATCCCAAAAATCCATTTATATGGTTTATACATATAAAATGTTATGTGCAAGAAAGGAATTGAGAAATCAATATAGATCTATCTATCTTACACATTTAAATATATGGGTACTAGAGTTATAGAGTGTGCAGTGCCAATGCATAGGTAGTGAAATTTTACTTTAACACTTAATATGCCAGTTGTGAAGGGCAATTTTGCATTGCCCAGGGAGAGTGTTAGAAATGGTGTTATGTAACTCTAAGACAAAATTATAATTTTTCTTGCCAGGTATACTTTTTTTTGTTTTTGTTATACTGACAGTATATAGATTTTTTTTTTAAATTCCTGGTTTGCTTTCAGGAAAATATGGGTGACATGGTGACTTTGATGGGTGTTTTTTTTTTTGGGACACCTGCAGTAGCCATATAACTGTGCACTTTATAAGCTTCAGGACTGCTCTGGGCCAGCGGTTTGATATGAAGAGGTACTTTTGGAATTTTAACGCCTATTTTGGTTTTCGACATTTTCTAACTAATAATGACTATATTTAACCAATACAGTGTGACTATCACAAGTGCTATCTGAAGGTGCAATTATCATATTAAGCACTGATGAGGTGGACGGAAAGTTTATATATGTTTCTATCAATACATGTCTAGGGGGTCTTTTCACTTCCCCAATGAACTGTTAGAAATAGAAAATCAAATTTGTAAAATAAGGCCAAAATTGCCAAGTTAGAAAAAATGTCCAACTCAGATATAATCCAAACTTGGCTATTCTGGTTTAAAATTGATCAAATTTAGGTTTATATTTAACACCGTGCACTGCTCAGTGAATAATCCCCTACATGTATATTTATAATTACACTTTAGATTGTCTGTATAGTTGATCTGCACTGTTCTCAGAGCTAACAACCTTGAAGTAGATTTAAAGTACAATTTGTGTTATGTAATATAAAAGCCAGAGGAGTTAATTTATTTAAGAATGTACATAGATTCTATATAATGTTAGAAAAATCATGCATCAATGTTAATCAGTATTCTTGGTGCCTTGTGTGATGACAGGGTGGGGCGAGCTGTGGTCCTCTTTCTGCCATTGATCTGCAACTCCTACCATCCCCAGCCAAGATTGGTAGGAGTTGCAGTCTTACAATGGAGCAAGGGTCACAGATTGTGCAAACCTAATGTAGACACTCTTCTCTTTGTTTGCATGTATATACAGGTTGCCAATGCCTTATAAATGAGGAAAATGGTCCCAAGCCACATATAGTATAGCTGTACATTACTGCCAATAAATATTTCACATTGTTTAGAATCTCTATTTTTGTACGCACTGTTTTGTGACTCAGAAGTGATAACTTTGTAGTACAGATTTTAAAAGACAATGGTTACACACACAAATCATACTGATGGGACTGATTTCTCAACTGTTAACTGAAAAACAATGTTAAGAGTATATGTTTACTTTATTACTATCCAGCCACTAACTGGAATTCAATAATGAAATGTACTGAAATTTGGTCTGTAAATAAATATCTTTCAATTATACTTGTGTATGTTTCATGTGAAGATAAATCAATTTTAAGTCAATTCAGTTAATTAAAATTTGAACGTTATAGCTGCTAAGAACACGTTGAACTGTTATGTCTTAGTGAGTACCAGAAGCTGTAAGTTCATTGGGGAGCATTAATAAGGATCAATTTTCTATTGATCACGTAGGAGCTATTTCCATAGAAATCATTGGAAGGTTCATGCTGATTATTCGTCAGTTAGCACTTGGCTGCAGAATTGTTCCTCATGACTCTGAGTATATTCCATTCTGCATTCTGAAGAAATCATTTTAATTGAACAGTAGGTTGTACTGTGTTTGTATAACTTCCAAAACCGAGTTTATTTCAAAATCTGTAAGAGAATAAAATCGAGAATTTTAAAACAAGTGATTGAATGCATTAGAAGCTGGTTGATCACTTGGTTCCTTTAAACACAATTTATAAGGGGTTTAATAATGATCAGATATGTACGTTGAGTCAGGGACTAATTAGCAAAATTTAGGCTAAAATAAATTATTTGGAAAAGTTAACTTAGCAGGGCAAATAAAAAACAGGTCGCAAGAGTATTCTGAGAATGGACAGCAACTGAAATAGCCTGCCCTTCGGTAGGTCCCCGCTCAGATCTCTGTTTTTAGCTCATCTTGTGCCATTACAGAGAGAACATATCTGAAGCATATCAGACTGGTCCCACCCATACAGGCAGACCAGATCCAAAATGCCAGCAAGTTCCCTCTGCACGAGAGACACAGCAACCCCAGACGATCGTTTTATTTTAACTTAGCAGAGCTGAATTTGTTTCCATCTTTTGGCCTAAGTTCAAATTCAGTTTCCCCACATTCTAACAATCACTGGCTCACTTTGATTGGTCTGGTTATTTATAACTTTAATACATCGCTCAGTGAGCTACTTGACATGGCACTTCTTCTAAAGGCAGGACTTTTAAGATAAAATGGTTTTATGCCTTCTAGAGGACATTCTAAAATCCATATTTTTTTTAATAGATGCATTTTTTAATGGCAAATTTACAGTTCATACTGCGTAAGTCAGTGATGGCTTAACCTTGACATTGAAGATGTTATTGGACAAAATTTACAGTGCTGCTTACCAAACATTTATAGAAACATAGTTCATTCACCATAGTTCATAGGCAGAACACCAAGCAATAACATTGTATGTCTATCTATCTATCTATCTATCGTCTGTTTGTCTATCTATCTATCTATCTATCTATCTATCTATCTATCTGCCTGTCTATCGCCTGTTTGTCTATCTATCTCTCTATCTATCTGTCTGTTTGTCTCTCTCTCTCTCTATCTTTTTTCTCTCCATCCATCCATTTATCCATCTATCCATCCATCTGTCTCACTTTCTGTCTATCTGTCACACACACACAGTGATTGAAAAACACACACACAAAACAAACAATGCACACAAATAAACTTTGCAGGCCCAAAGTATTCAGATAACTATATGGTGAACGTTTAATTGAATCAAACTTACTTCTCTATAAAGTACTTTTCAAATCCTATTCCGTGTGCATACTAGAATATTAGGATATCTAATAAATTAGATCCTTTGCATAAAGTGTTTATTCAGGTAAGGTATTCAAGGATTGAATATTTTTGTAAAGATTGTATTTTATTAATATGTAAATATTCATTTACATATTTTCAAACTGGATCACACTATTTTTAAAAGTACATCTCACTTCCACATGTGTTCTGTCTGTCTATATCAAGATCATTTCTGCTCCCCTTGAAAAGGATTCATTATTATTAATATTTCAAAATGTCATTCTAATCTACGAGAGATTGTGGATTAAGGTTTATTGGAATTATCATGTTTCTGCTCGACTCAAGGAGTGGGATTTCAATTAGGGAAAACATTCCTTTGACATTGAATTCATTTTCCAATATCTACATAGAATTCCATAACTCTTTCACTCTGTCAGCAACTTACTTGAAGATGTATTGAATAATAATAGTATTTGTATTTAGGTGTAAAGAAAGCCATTTCACAAAGAATATAACACTAATCCACAATTTATTAGATAACCTTGAAAGGGATAAAAAAAAAAAACAACAACATTAATATATAACAGTTTGATCCCTGCTTGAACACATTTATATATTTTTCCTAAAGATTTGACTTTTGTACATAATAAAAACAAATGTAAATTTTTAGCACTATTCAATATATCAAGATGTGGGAGCCACATGTAGACTGTATAGCTCAGTCATGCATACTTTGGGACCATGGGACTGTATTAACAGATAGATTTATGGTATCAATAATTACATAGAATCTGGTACGTGCAGTTTTGAGAAGTGTATATTTTACAATAAATTTATCTACAATATAAATCTTTAATCTATGTCAATTAACCGTTATGGTTCATTGCAATGAAGACTGTGACCTAATATGCAATTTGACCTTGTAATAGAAGACACAAATTATAGGAGTGTTAGCCACACTTAATTCAATTATAACTATAATTACCTGAATCTGGCCTTGCTTTTCCGGTTGCTATAACATTAGAGGAAAAATGTAAAAAAATAATATATATATATGTGTGTGTGTGTGTGTGTGTGTTGGGTATCTATCTATCTATCTATCTATCTATCTATCTATCTATCTATCTATCTATCTATCTATCTATCTATCTATCTTCATGTGGGTTATACATTTCCCCAATTTGCGTTATTTTCACCAAATAAATGTGTGTGTTCTGCATCTTTCATATTGCATGCTATTTTTTACAATAGTGTTAGTGAGTTAGAATTTGCATTAAAGGAACACACAGATGTATTCCTAGCACTATAATTCCCTCGAGTTCAATGAACTGAAGTGGTCTAAGTGCCTATAGTGTCCCTTTAAGGCTAAGGCCGGTGAGTTACGATTGGTAATATTGGCAGTGTTAGGACAAGTGTTAAGGCTAGGGTAGGGGTAGTTTAGGGGTACTGGTAGTTTGGCAGGTAGTGTAGGAGGTATAGAAGCATTACGACATACATGTCCCCGGGCTGCCCAAGGTTAGTGGGCGATGCTGTCCTAGGCGGGAGTATTTCAGCTGGCATTATGAATTCAGTTCATGAGCGAGCTGAATTAAAATTGCATAATTTGCAATTTAGGAGTGTAACTCCCACTAATCTCACAAGCATATATATTCTGATTCTGCCAGAATATAAGGCACCCTAGATTCAAAGATGTGGACTGTGAATTATTCCCCACTCATTATGGAAAATAAAAGCACAGATTACATTACTATCCATACAGTACAGGACTCTAAAACATGTAATGCCCATTGATTTAATGAGTAGATTATGCAATATATAAATATTATAAATACAAAAATGTAAAAATAAATATATGAATATACACTGATCATCCACAACATTAAAACATGTGACGTGAATAACATTGATTGTATCGTTACAATGGCACCTGTCAAGGGGTGGGATACATTGGGCAGCAAGTGAACAGACAGATCATGAATTTCATGTGAATTTCAAGCAGGAAAGATGTGCAAGTGAAAATATCTGTGCAATACTTCCCGTGGATGTGACTGACAGCCTGCATGAAAAAAATATTTAATTTTTAATCAGATTTTTTTAATCTCCTGCTTTGTAAATTGAACTTTTTAAAAATCCTTTATTTTTGCTGTGCAGAATAGTACAGTTGTGCCGGTGATGCCACAACAGCCAAAGCAAGCACAGTTATATCAAATAGAGCAGGGGTAGGCAACCTACGGCACTAGTGCCATGCACGGCACTCAAGGTGTCTTTGCACGGCACTCAAGGCTGCTAGAGCCAAACAGGCTCTGGCCTATCAGGAGACCCAGTAAAACTTCAGATATCTGCTAATATGAAAAGGTGGTGAAGGACAATCCTCAATTTATGCATTGCAGCACATAGAGGAAGTGAATAGGAATTCACACTTTAGTAGAGCAGCCCGCAGCTGCTGTTGCACCTCCTGTACCTGGCCAGCCTGGAACTCAGGGAAGCCACCCACACTGCTAGATATACACAGAAATGCACAATAACCCCCCCTCATACAAATAATACGAACAGCCCACAAACAAACATACATACAATCCGCACAAACGTAACCCGCTAACAATCCACAAACATGCACACAACCGATATCACAAACTACTCCTGAACAATAAAATGGCTCATTTATGCACAAATACAATGATACAAAGCAATTACAGTATAAATAACACAAGCAGAATACGGCAGCGTACACACCTCAATTTAAAAAAATAGGACCGGCACGCTACGGGACATCACAATCCTATATCGGCACAGTGCTGTTAAAAGGTTGCCTACCCCTGAAATAGAGTATAACATGGGCATGGCATTGTAATAGTCAGCACAATTTTGATGAAAAAAATAATAATTGACAAAATAGCAAGCATTTCTGAGCAGTTATCTTAAACTAGGTAAGTAAGTAGAGAGAAGCAGACATGAGATAGACTGGGGGTTTTGCCCCCAGTGGCCTTCGGCCTGGGTGGGCTGGGAACCTGAGGTACTTGTGCTTGAGGGAGGTCCACTCACCACCTGGTTCTCGCTCCTGCGGTCCCTTCTCTGAGACAGATGGATGAGCAGCTAAGGAGGACCAAAAGTGGTTGAATAGCTCATCCAGATGTCTTTGAGATTGCTTGGTACGGGCATGATATTCCTTCTCAAGCAGCATGGGCTCAGTCCCATGAGGAAAAGACACAGTTGCCATTTTGATAGGACACTCTGTGTTTCAAGCTGAGGCAGGTATAAAACCTGATCCACCTTGATATATGTTAGAAGCCAGTGAACCAGGATAAACCCCACTGGTCTCCTAAATGGCAGAGAACAGAGCAGTGAGACTAAAGGGGCATGAGCAGCTAAAGTTGTTTTGGTACCTATAGTGTTCCTTTAATGGATATGCTGCTATTGTCTTGGTGCCAGATGCATATTTTAACTTTGTGTACTTAAACTGAACTTTTCTAACAACACTTTCTTT